ACTGCTCGGTCGAGTGGATGGAATTATGGGGATATCTTCGGACGAACATACATTCTATCTCACTAAAGATGGATTCAACTCATGAGGGGTGCTAAACAATGCCTGAAAGTGGGTTTAATTCATAGCTCTCTCTATATTTATCTATCTATCTATGTATCTATCTCGATCTATCTAACTATCTATTTACTGCAAATCTATCTATATATCTCTATGTATTGACCGGTATGGAAACATTAAATAAAGCTGAGATATATAAATATACTGTCTAAGCTCTTTACATAACGCTACGTACCCTTGAAGACCGGTTCAAAGTCTCAGAAGGCCTCGTGTACGCTCATCTCGCAATGCACGACTTCAGATTTAACAGTCTATTTCATTCATGTTATTCATCCATTCAGAATTTTATCACTCGCCTAGAGAGATATTCCTCGTAAGAAAGGTATATTCCGCGGCGACCTTGAGAGGCGGGGAGTTCGAGCGTCGCCTGGCCCGTGCGTGCGCCTCGCCGCCGCACACGCCCCCGGAACACCAAGCACGCAATAACCTCGGCGCCGACAACTTCACCGAGGCTGGAGACTGCATTCGGCTTCCTCAGAGATATAAGATTGGATACCACAATATCTACATTTCTTTTTTACCTTTTGTTGTTTATGCTCATTCTCTTCGCATTTCTTCTTCCCCTTTACTGTTTTGTTGTTTTATAATATCGTGGAATTCTACTTCATAGACATTCATCGGGAACAGAGAGTGAACAGACAGGAATTTTTGTCCATGGGAAGAAGGATAGTCTGTATCTCATTATCTGTCGAATGATAAAGTTCTTCGATATCAGCCGTAACGCAATGGCCGTTTGATATGGACAGGTGTTTGTTCGCTGAGGAATGTAGTCCGGCCCCTCCTCCCCCTCCTCATCTTCTTCTTCTTCCTTCCTTCCCTTCCCCTTCCTCTCCCCCCTACCCTTTCTCTTTCTCTTCCTCTTCGTCTTCCTCATCCTTCTCCTTTTCCTTCTCCTCCTCTTCCTCTTGGTACCCCCCACGACTTCAACCTCCAGCACTACTTCTCTCCCCTCCTCCTCCCCCCCTCTCTCCTCTCCTCCCCTTTCCCCTCCCCTCCCCCCTCTCCTCCTCCCCCTGCCCTGCCTCCCCCCCGCCTCCCCGCTCTACCCGCCTAAAACCAATATTGCACGAGCGCCAATCTGTTTAAAGAATAATGGGCCTTCATTTAAGTGGTTTATTGTCGAGAATCATTATCATCATCATTATGGCAATATACTTTGTGATTTGAAAACGGAAGCAACAGTTAGTCCGCACTGAACGATTGATGACTTTTTGTTCCCAATCGAGCTTTGACCCATTTTCCCGGTTGCCTTCGTTCCCCTCCCGTTTTTTTTCTTCTTCTTTTTGCTAGATCTTCGTCTCCTCTTGACCCGCTCTTCCTGCTTCGCCTTTTTCCTCTTCCTTGTTGCCCTACTCTCCCTCATCCCCCGTTCTCTCACACTGCTCCCTCCCCTTTGTTATCCTTGTCTTACCCTTCTTCTCCCCTCCTCCTTCCTCACCCCTTCAACCTCCTCTTACCCCCCTCTCCTCCTTGGCGCCTCTCCTCTCACCCTTCCTCCATTCTCTTCCTTCTCCCCTCCTCCCCCTCCTCCCCCGTGCATCCCCGTCGTCTCTCCTCGAAGCCACTGACGTCAAATCGGCGATAAGGAGAAGGATGTATTTGGAGATAAAGGGGGCCTCTTTACCTTGTCAATCGTGGTTTTTACATCTTGTTTTTCACTTAGAGGGCTGGGGTTTATTTTAAACTCTGGTGGTTCCTGGTGCTCCTTTTCGCTTCTTTGGCGATAGTAAACCATGTATGTGGATATGTAAATGGATGGGCGTGCGTGCATGTGTAGCCTTGAAGAAAGTAAATCAGTAGAGGGGAACAAAAACAGAAACATTCTCTCTCTCTCTCTCCTCTCTCTCCCACTCTCTCGCTCTCTCTCTCCCACTCTCTCTCTCTCTCTCTCTCTCTCTCTCTCTCTCTCTCTCTCTCTCTCTCTCTCTCTCTCTCTCTCTCTCTCTCTCTCTCTCTCTCTCTCTCTCTCTCTCTCTCTTCTCTCTCTCTCTCTCTCTCTCTCTCTCTCTCTCTCTCTCTCTCTCTCTCTCTTCTCTTCTCTCTCTCTCTCTCTCTCTCTCTCTCTCTCTCTCTCTCTCTCTCTCTCTCTCTCTCTCTTCTCTCTCTCTCTCTCTCTCTCACACACACACACACACACACACACACACACACACACACACACACACACACACACACGCTCGCGCGCGCGCGCAATCACGCATACACAACATATACATACATAATAAACACATACACACGTATGGTGTGGTGTGTGATATATATATTATATATATATATATATATATATATATATATTATATATATATATATATATATATATGACCTAAGCCAGCGAGCCGCCGTTCCCCGAAGGAGGCCCCAGAATGCGAGACGCGACACGTGAAATGTGCGAATAAGAAGCCCAGGCGCTGGAGTGCCACTTGAGCCTCACCTGCGTCAGCGATGGTTCGACTATGCTAATCGTCGTCCTCTGACGTGGGTTCCCGTAGGCGATAGCGCTGCGCGATACCGCTTCTGGACCTCTCCTTCTCTCTTGCATCACACTCCGGAACTGGCTTCACTTGTTTCTGCAATTGCAACAAAATGCTTCAATTTCTGTGGAAGACAGAATGGAGTTAAGTTGAGTAAAAAGGTTTCGATCTAGATTGTGGGATTTTCTTTTTCTGTGAAATAAATTGACAGATCATCAGAACACTTCAGATAAGATTGTCGAAAGACATGCCTGTTGTTTCATCACATTTTGTCGAAAAGTATTAAGCGTTTGCTTCCGCTGTTTTTATGATTTCGGGCTATTAATAAAATCTGCCTTGAGAAAAAGTTTCTGATTGCTAATCTGTCCTTCTATTTTGATATTTCCGTCTGTTTTGTAAACATTGGTATGAATTATTATTACTTTTATAAACTATCTATCTATCTATATGTTTGTGTATATATGTGTGTGTGTCTGTGTGTACATGTGTCTGTATATGCACATCCATATACATACACACATATATAGTTTGTGCGTGTGTATATCATCCATTGTTAAGATGCACTACCTTGTGCCCAGTCTTCCCTCTTTCGTCATTTATACTCTTGTCATAGTAGTATTTTGTTACAGAATGACTTACACAACAGATTCTCATCATTTCCAATCCTGGCCATTTCGACACCGCATTCCTGTGCTCTTCTCCTTCGGTCGTCCAAGTAGTTCTATGATAACACATGGTGATGATGATTAGGATAATGGAAGCGGTGGAAATGTTCATAACGATAACGATAGATTGGTGATAGTAATGATAATGATAGTTGCGACAGAAAAAATATAGTTTTGTCTCTAATGGTAATTTTGATGGCGGTAACATTAATAAAACCAACAAGGATACACGCATACACGCAATCAATCACACACGCCCATTTTCTACACTCCCATCCTTGCCTTGCGATAGGGCGGGCGTGGGCGACGTAAAGTGAGATAAGCTACCAGGAAACAGGAGGATCCACGGGTTACCTGATATATAAAGTGATGTATATAGCTCGGGGAGTCAGTTATGTTGGTGTTTAACAGGTGAGGACGGCGGAAGGGGGGCGGGCGTCCACTTGTGAGTGTGGGCGTGGTTGTTGTCGGAAGCTATGAATCGAATGGAAGCTGGGTGTTCTTGCGATGTAAATAAACAGGTGGGAAGAAGGATTGAAAAAGCAAGGTTGGTTCGTTCATTTCAAGTATCGGTGGTATTTCTGAAACGCAAAGATACGAATGACGCTGACAATATTCTGTGCATAAAAATGGCCGGTGTTGAATCTTGAAAAAAAGTTATCTTTTTTATCGTGTGGTTTATTGCGCGGGTGGCCGCCGAGAGCTCTTGGCGATGCGCTGAAATGAATGAAAAGATAAGAGTTCCTTTTAAGTGTTGTGATGCGCACATTTATAAATATATGCGTATTAGATAGCATGATAATCAAACGCCTGCCACATTGCAGTCAAACACTCCGCGCCATGTGTCAACAGAAGACGCACGTAAACACATACACACTAAAACGCACATAAAAATATATACATAAACAAACGCAGTCAAAGCAAGAAGCCAACGTATGAAGCTGGAAAAGACACGCTCACTTTCACGTGTGTCTGGTTACTGTAAGTCTATCGGCCGTACCTCGTCACGAGGCGGGCGTGCCGTTGTTGGTGTTCCGGCGGAGGTGTCCGTGCGGTGGGTTCCTTCGCGGGCTCAGGGTCTGTTGCGCTCTCTGCTGCTCTTCGCCGTTCGGAAGCATTCAAGAAGGGAAAGATGGACGGCCGAGAGCAGACCACGGTGGCCGAGGATGGCCCAAAGAGGTGGCCAAGACACAGGGGTTGGCCGAGATGTTTACAAATCCAATATTGACTCACGCCACTTCACACTAAGATTGCCTAGTCACCGCCGCCTCGCTCTCGGTTGAGACTCGGCTGTTTACTTCTTCTCCATTGTTTTGTCGAGGCGCCGGTTAATAGCATGGATGTTGTCGTCGCCTCGTCGGCTGAGCGAGCGCCGGCCGCCGCTATTGGCCGCGGCGACTGGTTCTTGCGCGGAAAGTAGTGCTTCTTTGGTCGTTTCTTGCTAGCAGGCAAAAAGTCGTTGTTATTAAGCGAGGAAGGTGTCATGCAAGCTGGCTTCTTCATTGCGGTTGCAGCAAAACACTGCCTTGAGTTTGTTAAGGACCCGACCTCAGATCGGAAATAAAGTGTACAGGGAATAGTGGTTCTATATCCCCGTGGGGAATCCGGTGCACGGAGAGGAAATGGTGAGCAAGATGAACAAATGTAGATCTGATAAGCCCTTAGAAGTCAAACGCTTCAGTGATTTTTTAATTTGATGCTTCGGTTTTACCATCTTATACTAATGTGATTTTTTCTTTCTTTGCAGACTGATATATCTTGCCGTTATCCTGCTGGTGCTGCTGTATGTGGTAAGTGGAACAGACTGCGAATCACTAAACCTTCCCGTTTCTCTGAACAAAGGAGTTTATTTTAAATCACATGAACCTTTCCTTAACTTGACCTTGGTGCATGGTATAAGAATCTCAATACAATTATTCATATTGATATATTTAATTGCAAGCACTGGCTTTGCTTCGTTGTTAGTTTGGCCGCTAAAATCACTCTCAACAGTGAGGCAATTTTCACATACTAAATGTATATTCCCTATAAACGGAATGAGCATTCTGTCATTTGCTTACCAACACAACTCAAATAATAAGTGTCCAGGACGAAAACACGAACGCATCAGAACAACAAACAAAACGCACATGGACTCAGTAACAGAACATGCATGCAATACGGAGAAAAGACTGAATTTCCTATCATCTGACGAAGGCGTCCCTCTGCCCCGCAGGGCTCAGCAATGGGTGGGAGCGGAGACATAGTCCTCGCCGCAGCGTCGGAGAACGAGGTCGGCGTCTGCCTCTCCTTCAAACATCGCAAAAATCTGACCGACTGCTGCAACAATACCGACAACATGCGTGAGTATTTTGCGCTTATTATTGTTATTCTTCTTTGGTAATCTTTTGCTTTATTGCTATTTGCTTTTACTGCTTTATTATCTTTGTAGTTACAATTTCGTTTACTTTTTCGTTTTATTTGTTTGTTTCTCTCTTTAGCTTCCTTCGATTCCTTTTCCTTCTTTGCTTCAATCATTCATCCTGATTTGAACGCCCTTGCCAGTCCTGAAAGGCTTATAATACCAACTGATTTTCAGTTAATTGATCTCAAAAATTCTATCTCAAAGTCATTTAGAAAAGCTACCTCGTAAAATCAAAAGCAAGTTTACAAAACAAATGTCAAACACAATGCTTGAGTTAAGTAATTATAGGGTTTCAAAAACTTTAAGTAAAAAAAGTACCCCCCAGACCTTCGAATGAAAAGAAAATCCATCACTTCCTTAAAACATATTCACTGTAAAACCCTCTAACGCCTTCACTGCCATAAATCGCTCAGGACTGAGCAAGTCTCAACCAAAAATTACTGTCAGAAAATGGATAATTCTGAAATATGGCAAACGATTAGCGACTATTTTGAAACATGTTTATCTTTTATGGCCGCGGTCAGTATACCTGGCCTTTCAGCCTCCCCTGCGTGGGAGAGAGGGAAAGGGAAGGAGGCAGACGAAGAACATGAGAGGAGAATATGTGAGAGAGAGAGAGAGAGAGAGAGAGAGAGAGAAGAGAGAGAGAGAGAGAGAGAGAGAGAGAGAGAGAGAGAGAGAGAGAGAGAGAGAGAGAGAGAGAGAGAGGAGGGGAGGGGGAGACAGAGAGAGAGAGAGAGCAAACAAACGAATTATGCTTAGCAATAAATCCAGAAAAAACTCGCCTTCAAGTTATTA